AGTGACCCAGGCAAAGATCTGCACTGTTTCTTCGAGGTGAGGTAGAGATACCTCAAGGATTGTATACCCAGAGATGGGCAGAGGCTTTCCGTTGGCCCCGTAAATCGCTTGCGTCCGGTGCGGCTGACGAATGAATGGGGCCTCTGTAAGACGCACTAAGTTCACGTCTGCACCAGTATCAATAAGTGCTTCCCCTGCATTCGTTATTATCTTCGGGAGCGGACTCTTCATTGCGAAAATATTTGACTGTCATGGCATTTGAGGTTGCTTTTTGCAGGAAGCACATCTCGTCCGTATGCCGGCCAGGTCCGTGAATGGTGCATTTCATTGTTGGGCGTACGAAAGAGGATCTCTTGTCTCCTAGAACAGACGGTTGATGGAAGGTTGCCTGCGCGCGCCCTTTAATTCCCGCTATGCCTTTATCCTCATTGTCTCCCTTTCCTGTAGTACCAAGGCCTAGTGCTTCCAATCGTTGGATAAATTCCTCGACTTCGTCGATATGACAAAGCAATGCTCGTATCTCCCGAGGTAATCTGGCGCAGTATCGGTACAACATTAGTTTCAAGAACGGTTGCACAGGATAACCTTGTCTCTCGCAAATGATCATAATCGTTTTATTGACTCGTTCTAGCTCTTTAGCGGCCTTCATACAGTCAATGGTCGTGATTTTGTCTCTAGTACTAAATACAGTGCACGAGATTTCGGGTATTGTCGATCCATGTAGGTTTTATGGGCCTCTGCGATCGTTTCAGCTTGAGAAAGGCCATAAATTTTGACGAGTTTCTTCAGGAGTATGTCCGGTGTGGTGCTGGTTTTGAATAACGCCTCTGCTAACCATTCATCCGTCTCCAATTCCGTCTCCGGTAATGATGGTAGTGATATGTTGTTGCTCATCGTTTCCGAAAGGATGTTCGTATTAGTCGATGTTCTGTTGTGGCCGATGCAATTTCCTTGGTTAGCGCTGCCATTATCTTCTGATTTTCTTGTAGCATTGTGGCCATGAGAGTGAGAAGTTCTTGATTTGTAGCTGTCGCCATAATGTAAAGTGATGCGCTGTTAAAGATTAGTTATTGTCTAAAAAGTGTGTGCGCACACATTTCGCATAGCATGTTCCACATCATGGTTAAGTACGGAATTTAGGAGTGCGTTGTCCGTAAAAACGAATAACGGCTTGCGTATAGTTCGAACATAGTCTTTAATTTGCGTCAAGTTTTAAGATCATATATCCACCTTGGGCTTCATTCGTATTACTGTAGTTGTGTGTGGCTGGCTTGGTAATGGTTTTCGTCATAAGAGTATTGGCTCCTTGAATTAGCGAGAGCCCTACCGCCACGTTGCTGGTATCAATATAGAGACGTAATGGTTTGTTCGGTTGCGCGGTATATCGTATGGACGGTCGTTGTTTGAAGCAATCGCAGTAGATCTTTAGTATGTCGTTGTCTTTAACCTTCTGTTGCAGTAGCTTCGTAACTATTCGTTGTTGGGCTGTTATTAATGCGTGTTTATAATACTGGAGCGTCTGTGCTGCCTTGGTGATGTTAGCATGGGCTCCTTATTGCATTAATAGTTGAATGTTAGCCCATTTGGCTTTTGGAATCGTTAATGAGTGGTCAATTAGTTCATATCCTAAGATGCTTGTGCAATGTAACTGTGTCTTTTCGCTATTTATCTTGAACCCGTACGTGGTTAAGAACTGTTTCGTGTGCTCGTATCGTTTTCTGAGTTCATGAAAACGACCAGCATCGTTGACGTAAGGTAATAGCGGGCGACAGTCACTCGGTCTTTCACAACCCGCGTGGGTAGCGTGAAGTTCGGCGGTGTTGGTAGTTGCGTCAGCTTATGATGTTCGAGTAGTGGTCGTATCCATTTATCGATAGTAGTTGAGATAGTAATTGTACTTTGTCAGAGGCAGAGGTATCTGTGGTTCATAAAGGGAGTTATGACTATTGAGGCTCGAATTGATGTCAATCGTTACCGCGAAATCGTGACGGCAATCGCCCGAATAGACACGTTGCGGACAGCTTTGCCGTTCAGCACTCAGGGGATGCTCTAGCACAGACGCCTTGGTACTTCGGGCCCGATCCAGCGCCTTGGTATCGCGACACTTGCATCCGGACGGGGCATGGGCCAGACGTTACCTACCATACCCCACTGGTGGAACTGTGGGATATAATCGCACAGGGTGCAGGGCTATACCGCCCAGTGCGCACTCCTACCGATGAGGAGTGGGTGGATAGCGGGGCTGAATGTTGGTTACGGAGAAGACGGGGAGGATGGTGCCCCTAATGAGGCCGGTGCACATCCGCCCGGGCGACGCCCACGCCGTCGTGAGCCCGACATGGCTGACATCTTCTACACAGTTCCTCAGGCCTATAACATATCGCGGGATCAGCTATTCTTGGTGTGGCTGTTCCCCGCTCATGGAGAATCCCCGGGTGGCGTGAACCTAGCTGGCCTGTCGCCATATGCAGACAACAACGTCGCCTTGTACGGCGACACTGTCGCTAGTGTGCCCATGGAGGATTTCGAAGCTATCCACGATCTGCGCCGACGTGGGACCGACCTCGACATAAGGGACCTTGCTGATAGGCTGCTTGAGATCACATACGGTACGGACCAGCTAGTGCCCCAGGTACCGGTGTCACTGTTCGTGGCATCGCGCCGGATGGAAGGTTTCCCTGTGGACCTGGTGCCCAGATACCGAACCGCCTTGGCGAATATTGCCGGCCCTAATGAACAGGAGCCTGTTAGGGCACACACCGATAGGGACAGTGATTTGTACAAATACTCGGTGTTGGCGTGGTGGAGAAAGTTCGGGGCAAACGACCCCCTGTTACATCAGCATAGCGACCTGGATAGGCTATTACGTGCCATGTTGTACACCATGACACCCTACGCATGCACTAACCCATTCCTGGCTTCCGACACTGACCCTTTATACACGAGCGAGTCACGCAATTTGCGCATTGATACTATGCGATGGGCGTTTCCTATGTCCAGTGAGGTGTATGCGGGTGTGGCCAGGATTGACGTAGAGATCGTGACCACGCGCGAGTTGCTGAGGGGGGATACGCCAGAAGCTAATACCCGGCGGCACCGCGTCAGGGACGGTAACACTGCCTTGATATACATCCCAAAAGCGCTGGAGTGGACTAGGGGATAATCCAGATGTGGAGTTACCATAGAAGCACGAAAGATTGTACCGGCCCAGGAACAAATTATAACACAAGACTATCATGGCCCGGTGCAATCGACTCAAACAGTCAGTCAACAGGTTTTCCTTACCCCGAGGTTTTCCTTACTTCAGATCGGATTACAAAAGCGTGCGAGCTTGTCGTTATCAGTGTGATCCAATGCCAGCAAGGCCCGGTGATCGACTGATTCGATCACCCTTCAGCAATGCACGGCTCGTAACGGACACAGGATCCACATGACGATATAGCGCTCGGTTGCGGATCGCAGCTGCAGAAAAGGCATTACCGCTGTCCCTGTTCGACTGGTCCCCCGGAATGTTGAGTCGCTAGAGCCAGCTTATGTGATCTGCGGCGATTGTCATATCTGTAAATAAGGTTCCGCGGCGAAAGCGTTTGACGTTGAATATCGTACACCGCATTTGGCCGTGGACGACGCGTTCCAGCTTTCGCGCAGGTGGCGGGCTCGACGGAACGAGTGGATGTCGTGGCGCTTTGCCAGAGCAGTGGGTTTGGTCAGAGTCAACGGCTGAAGGAGTTATCGAAGAGGTACTACACGTGCTACGTGTCCCCACCTCTTGGTCAGTATGAAAGCCGCGGCTACTCGATGCCCACTGCCCCGGGGACGGCAGTTCATGTCTCGGCTGCTGCGCGTCAATAGGTATATCGACGATGAAGCCGCTGTTATCGAAAAGCAGTATATGAAGGCGGGACAGGTGGCGCTATTGACTGAGGCGTGCCTGGAGGAACGGGCGAGAAGAGGTATCGACAGATTGTGACGGAGAGTGATCGGAAAGAGGCGTTGCCTGGTGCCTAGCGGCCCCTACGAGATCTGATTGCTCGAGGGTATCCCCTGGTGTTTATCCTGGCTGGTTTTCCGTCGCCACCAAGTGTGATGGAGACTAGCCACTTTCGACTGGTAAGGAGAGCTGTCGCCATTAAGGATATTTCTCTGGTGTGCGCTTCTACGAGTTCCAAGGTTCAGAATTTCGCGCCCTTTCTGCACTCTGACAGTCTGCCAAAATGCTGGAACGGAAATCCACGCCTCCAAGACCGCTGTTAGCCATCTGAACCTGGGATGCGTTTGCGAATCTCCAGTTACCGGTTACTCTGAGCAAGGCCGCTTCTCCTGGTTACTGTGTATCCTGCTGTCGCCCCAGCTGGATGGCCTTGTTTGGAGCAGTGGGGGATGATGTCGACGCGGCGGATTTGAGGAAGTTCACCGCAGATAAGATTGCAGCGTATGGATCTTTGAACACAGAGGGCGCGTGTGTGTTTCGCAACCACAGCAATTCTGGGAGCGCTCCGGATTCGTCGCCATCGCAGAGTCCTTGGTGAGGGCAATATGGGCGAATTCAACTGCAGAATGTTGCTGGCGCGTGCCCGAGCCGGGATGAGGTCGAAGGGCTCCATCCACGAGTTCCGGCTAGTGTTCCACGGCGGAAGCGCCGCTGATTTGGTTGGAGCTGGTAAATTGGGTGCCATCGCAGTTCAAGCCAAGAACTGCAAGTAGTCCTTAAATGCGGCCAGTTTGCTTGAAAGCACGGAAGAATATACGAGCATAGGAGCGCCGGCTCTTCCATGCTTTCGAGCAAAATGGCCGCATTTAAGGACCGCTTGCAGTTCTCGACTCGCGTGGCTCCGTCGCACGCGTGGCCGTTATGGAGAGCTCTACTGGCCCCGGCATTTCTTTCAACGAGCTTGTCCCGCTCGGAGACGAGAGGTGGACAGGACCGCGCGCGAAGTTCTTCGACGATTGGAATGATCCGCTTCGACACACTCACCCCGTCCCACCGACTGACAAGCAGCTCTCAGCGCGGTTCAACATGCGCCAGACTCCTTGACCCATTACCCGAACCATATGGCAATTATCCGAACCGTTTTGGGCCCTGCGATCGAGGCTCATCCAAAGCGTCATGCATGACGCCACGATCGACCTTGATGTATAGTTTTGTGTGTGGATAGCCTTTCATGGAAGCTGATCATTACGTCCTTTGCGTAAATCTAGGATGGACGCGTGCGGCGGTTATTAAGAGGGTACTCTGGCATGCTTACAGGACGGTGCCAGAAGACGAGGATTGCTACCCTTGCAATGAAGTGTACGCATAGGTTGGAGTTTATGGTTTGCGAAGGCAACAAGGGGAAGCTGACGGCGACGATGAAGTCTCTCGAGGCTGCCCGGAAGACGGCGAAGCGGACGTGGTAGCTTGGGATCGTCGTCAGGCAAATGGAGCGGGGGCAGCCGCCGTGTACGTAGGAAGGTTAACGGCGGCAAATGATTGGCCCACGGCAAGTGAGAGCGAGTGTTGATGGTCCCTGAGTAGCTGCAGGAGAACGAATCGTGGCTGCTGATTGGCACTCGGATGGCAGAAGAAGAACGACGTGGAAGCTTGCGGACCAAGCTTGCAGCTTGCGGACCACGAGGTGTCAAGAGTCGGCGCGTTGCTGCTTATGTGGGAAAGCTGCTGCCACTTCTACTGTGCCATGCCGAATCGTGTTTGCGTGAAATTCCTGCAACGCGTGTGTCACAAACTCTACAGGGCCGTCTTCTGTTCTTACCAAATGCCGTCGGAAGTGGTCAACTAACTGTCAGTGTAATTATCCGTGTGAACTCCGGCCCCCCTTGTACAGAGCATCCTGTCGAGCCATTCATCGACACCGCACCAGAGACTACATAATTGCTCCGTAGTTTGTACCGGCTGCAGCCGGTACAAACTACCGTAAGGAGCCGCACTGCGACGGATGGATCAGTAGTCTCCACGGAGGCGCCACAGAGGTCTTCAAGGCCCCGGTGCGTGGACCGATTCTTTGGCGAGGGGGTCTTCCAGAACCACACTTGGCCACAAAACTGGGAGTGGACAAAAGAGGGCACACAACTCAGTGAGGCCGACGAGAGCAAAACGAATGTAGAACTTGTGGCGGAGCGTGTGCACCTACGAAGACGACGCACCCGCCTGCGGGATGTTTAGGCCCGGCGTGGCAAAAGCGTGCTCAGACCCGTTTTAGGTCCGGTAAATGCTAGGGCACGATTCAGAGACGCAGACGTTGGGACTGGAGCCGTTAGCGTATTGACGATATCGCTGCTACGCAAGTGGCCCAGGTGTGCATGCCCCAGGCGCGCATGCCAGCCGGATGTCACTAGAATTAAAAATGGAAACCGGGGACAAAGAAAAGTTGGGTCCATGCGCGTGAGCCTAGATGGCTGCGTGTGGTGTCCTGTGAACGCAGCACACTGTGAGTGGTGCGGCCATCATCTCGTGGGACCGGATGCCGCGCTTTTCGATTGGATTTATGTTGGTCTTAGCCAACCTGCCACGTCACGCAATTTGACGCGTCCGTTTCTACCTGCTAAGTAATTCCCTGAGGCAGTAGCACGCAGTCCTACCAACCCGCTAGGGCCGCTGGCATAGGCGTGGGGATATGGGTCTTTCCCTCAAGTCATCGCATTCCGTGGATATGTCGGTGCTGCTTCATATCCTCTTAGCTCTCTAGAGGATCTAAATAGTTCAGACTCTCTACAGACCCAGCAGCCCGGACGAGGCGGGAAGGTTTAACGAAGCTGTGCACTCAAAAAGACATCAGACGCATCGACGGACCCGGTCGCAAAATCCTCAGCGCACATCTCATGAGACCGGATGTCGCGTTCTTCGGTAATTCACTATATTTATTTGGTCGTGGTCCCTCCGCATATTTCTGAGGGGCCGGTGCGTGGTTTAGACTGTACTAGAGGACACTAAGTATTCAACGAGGATGTACGAAGGCAGTATGTGTGTGTCCTTTGTGTGCCGTGAAATGCACACACGTTTTGTTTATACTGAGTCTAAAATTGAGGGACAGCAAAAATTTTTTAATGGTGCTTCAGGAGGCTTTGGTTTCGCTACTTGGTCCGTTCACAGTTTCGGAATCTGTCACGGTGAGCTCCGGAGCGGCTTCGTGTTCGCAGCTGGTTGACCGGTGCTACGTCAACCAGTCGTCGCACACTCCACAGTACGCGACGGCACCAGTTTCGTGCTACCTACAGGTCCCTGCCAACCAGCAAGTGCCGGTTCAGCAGACGCCACCTACTCAGCAAGTGCCGGTTCAGCAAGTGCCGATGCAGCAAGTGCCGATGCAGCAGATGCCTCCTCAGCGAGTGCCGGTTCAGCAAGTGCCGGTTCACCAAGTACCGGTTCAGCAGCTGCCTCCTCCTCAGCAAGTGCCGATTCAGAAAATACCGGTGCAGCAGGTGCCTCCTCAGCAAGTGCCGATTCAGCAAGTGCCGATGCAGCCGGTACCTATCGTCCAACAAGTGCCTGTTGTCAAACCGGTACCTCTGGTCCAGCCGAAGCTAGAGCAAATCTCAAGTAGCTCAAACGAGCATGCCGCGATGAACAGGAACATCCAGTATGTCGACAGGAAAGCTACGGATGCCTATTCGATTGCTGAGCATGCCCACCAGATGGCTGAGCAGCTGACTGAGGCCGAGCGCGGCAACAAAGAAGTCGTTGCGAAGATAAGTCATCGTCTGGACGGTTTCGCTCGAGTTGACCAGAGCCAGCAAGAGCAGATAGACCGTATAACGGGACTTAGTGTGCGAGTTGACAGCCAGGTTAAGGACATAGCAGTCCATGGGAAGCAGAACCAAAACGAGATCGGTATTTTGAAGGCCAAGGTAGCCTCTCTTGTAGAGCAACTGGACAGGCAGAATGACCCTGCGGAAGTACGAGCGAAAATCAATGACATCAATGCACGCATTGAGAGCTTAGCAAAGCGTGATGAGATTCAGCAAGGGGAGATTCACGGCGTGTCAGTCAAGGTCGGCGACCTGGCTGAGAGAGAAGCGAAAATCCACGGTGAGTTCAAGGAAAGGATTCAACGTCTTCTCGAGTGCAACCTGAAGCAGGAGAATCAAATCAAGGGCCTGGCCGGTGATGAGAGGCGGAGTCAGGATGAGATTCAGCTCTTGAAGGCCAAGGTGGCGTCTCTCGTTGAGCACATTGAAAGTCAGGGCGACCAGGCTGACGTGCCTATGAAGATCGATGAAATCATGGAGCAGATCGAAAGGCTGGCTAAGCGTGATGAAGTACAGCAAACTGAGATTCGAGGACTCGCTGACAGGGAAGCGAAGCTCCACAATGAGTTGAATGCACGCGTCCAACGTCTCTTCGAATGGGACCAGAAACAGGATAATCAAATCAAGGACTTAGCCAGTCATGAGAAGAAGAGTCAGGAGGAGATTGAGATTCTTAAGGCCAAGGTAGAATCTCTTGTGGAGCACCTGGAAGCACAGGATGACCCGACTGGCATGCAGATGAAGGTCGATGACATCATGGAGCAGATCGAAAAGCTAGCGAAGCGCGATGAAGTACAGCAAACTGAGATTCATGGCTTGGCTGACAGCGAGGCGAAACTCCACAATGAGTTGAATGAATGCGTTCAAAGTCTTGCTGAATGCGACCAGAAGCAGGAGAACCAAATCAGGGACTTAGCGGGCCATGAAAAGAGAACCGTGAAGAGATTGAGATTCTCAAGGCCAAAG